AATAAAAAATTTCGTGTATGTGCACTCGCACGTAAGTAATGTTGCGAATTTTTCAGAGATTCTAATTTTTTCTTTTAATTTTACTGCAATCAGACTTCAATAATGATAACTCGACCAACATATTAAGGTAGTTTTTTCCGTTCTCTTCCTTGTCTTACTCGCTACAAAAACTTTTTTTTTTGTAGGAACTACTTGTTTAAACCGGCATTTCCCGTGATAGACAATAATATTATTCCTACAATTTGAAAATTTCCCAACCTCGAATCCAGTCATCCTGAATTCCGTTATCCCACACTCGTCACGTCAAATCTGTTCACGTTGATTCCAGTAAATAATTTTAGAACTCATTTACTTTAATTAATGTGCAAGCCGTTAAAAACAACCCATATCATCATGAAACGCTCATCAATTTAATACCCAGGTAGAACTGTGAGTGGAAGTAAATTTTTCATTTTGAAATAATTGAAGAATTTAGAAGTTCCAACTCCAGTCGGAAATTTTAAGTATTATGATCCAATGCTTGATATTAAATTTTATTCTCTTAAAAAATGCTGAGACGACAAGTATCTTGGATACGCGCCCGGTCAGCCCTTACGCATTTAAGGCGCCGAGCTTCCAAAGTACAAACACAATTACAAGAACGTCGACGAAAACCGTACTCAAGATTATTTAATTGCAGGAGGCTCATATGTGTGATATGAACGCTTGATTCTTACGCTCAGTTGCGCCAAAACGTGCGTTAATAACACTACCATACGAGCGCCGAAACTCGTGCCCAACTACAATTACCCTAAACCCGTGCCAACTGCAATTACCCTAAACCCGTGCCAACTGCAATTACCCTAAACCCGTACCAAACTACAATTACCCTAAACCCGTGCCAAACTACAATTACCCTAAACCCGTGCCCAACTACAATTACCCTAAACCCGTGCCAAACTATAATTACCCTAAACCCGTGCCAAACTACAATTACCCAAAACCCGTGCCAAAGTCCAATTACCCTAAACCGGTACCTAACTGCAATTACCCTAAACCCGTGGCAAACTATAATTATTACCCTAAGCCTCCTGGCTATGATAATATATGACAGTGGCTAAACTTAAATGTGACTAATAATAGCTCTGATTAACTAGCACCAGTTTGGAAAATATTAAGGAATAAAATTGAAGTCACGGACAATTAGAGATATTTCCATTGAATGAATTCAGAGCAGGAGCAATTAGGCCTACAATGAATGCATGCAGGAAAACTAAGGCGGACGTACGTCACAAGTTTGCCAATACTTCCTGCCGATTGCCTACACGCAATTAATTGCCTTGATTAAACGAATGGTGCTGACACTCGAACGTTTTGTGCGCAGGCAGGAAGATTAGCGCCTGACATGACGAATGGAAATCGATTACGATCGGACATCATTCAGGTGATAGAAAATCCAAGGCTCCAGCTACAAATTTTATGCTGCAAAGCTCAGAGTTATCGTCACTTGACAACACAATGGACATTCAAGATTGCTGGGGGTGCATGCAGCTCATGTCAAAATCTATTGAGAGTTAACTGTAATGAATTGAGCTGATCCTTTGAAATGAATGCCGCATATCCCGGCTCTAGATAAATGGCGTTGCCTCGTTAAACATCGACTCCTATCACAAATGGAATCAATCCTGTCTGACTTTGGCACTGCAGGAAATTAATTTGAATGCAATTTACATCGTCGTTGAACTTGACCAGTTAGATGAGAGATCAATGGTTACGGCTCGGATGATTTATTTTCACTTATGAAGTGAAACCACTGTAAGCATTAAAATGATGATAAAAATTAAATTAATGATGAATTTGAAGCACGGTTTCGGCATAAAGAGCTTGTTAGCATTAGAATGATGATAAAATTTAAATTAATGATGAATTTGAAGCCCGATTTCGGTATAAAGAGCTTCAGCTTACATGTGGATGAGTAAATTCAGATACACAATTAATATAGCGATTATTAAATTCAAATCAATAACAAGCTTTAAGCTGAATTACGGCTAACAAAATCATGCGGAGTTTTTTACAACTACAATTAGTTGAATGTTGATTAAATTTAACTCACTGATGATATTGAAGCCAGGTTGCGGCACATAGAACTTGATAATACATTGGGGCGATATGACTATTGTTTATCATTAAAAGCTGTAGGACGCTGATAAAATTTAGATCAATGACAAATATTTAAGCTAAATTAGTGCACGGATGTGTTTCTATAGCATTACTTTGTAAAAATCACACACATTTTTCGCCAGCCTCATTTCCCAAATTTCTCCACATGAAATAAATAAAATTTTAAAACGAAATTACCCTACTTAATATATCATATATTACTATTGGGATATTCCTCTCTTCAAGCGTCTCTTAAATTTCTGTGCAAAACAGGCTGGAAGTTCCACGCAAAACTTTCTGGGTCCTCGCAATTCTATTTTCTTTGAGCTTCAAAATTCATTTGCAAATAAATGAGCCCTAAAAATTTTCTTGCTTCAAGTCAGTTGTGTCTTCAAATTGTTATTTTTACATCCTGTTCACCTGTAAACATGACACTCGTAAGCTTGATTCCTTACTGTGTGATATTTACCGGCTTTCATTTTTACAAGAACTTTCAAATCGCATTTGAGCAAAAAATAGCTAAAGTTGTACACGGGAAACTAAACTGCATTTCTATATCGAGACTTGAGTGGGTGTATGTGCTTGCAATTTGTTATAGTTTCTTCTCTCCCGAAGCATCGCCAGGGGGAGTGCGCGCAATGCGTTACATGTTCTCTCTCGACGCAGTTTCAGGGCGGGTGCTTGTAACGCGTTATAATTATGTTCTCCTTTCCGACGCTTCATCAGTGGAACCGCGAGCAATGCGTTACATGTTCTCTCTCGACGCATCATCAGGGGAACCGCGAGCAATGCGTTACATGTTCTCTCTCGACGCATCATCAGGGAAACCGCGCGCAATGCGTTACATGTTCTCTCTCGACGCATCATCAAGGGGAGTTCGAGCAATGCGTTACATGGCGGAAGTTTCTATTGATAAATAAGAATGAACAAAAATTATTCTAATGTAAAAATGCGATACTAAAATTTACAGAAAATATGCACCACCTATGTAGTATCTGTTCCACCAGTGACATGAGATGGCCAACTTCTTCCCAAAATTCACGATAAATTGATCTAGTGAAATTTGTCAGCTCTGTAATTTAATCCCTATGAAAAATCATTGGAGCTCACATTAGGTGAATGCTTTCAAATATAATGTGCTTTGATTATCAAATATTTTTATATGGCATCATATATTTATATATTAAACTATTGTGCAACTGTTATAGGTGCAGTAATTTTGAGAAGAGTATTACTTTTCGCGCTACTACCTTGGTGAAAATATACAATTCAATGTAAAATTCCAGCATAAATTTTGTTATTTCTTCTAATATACGAGGTGATATTATGGATCAGCTGGAGACATAATTAAACTTAATTACTGAAGTACCTAATTATTTTGCATTATAATTGCGCCACAGTACACGTACTGCTCATTCACTGAAAATTTTTTTCCACCTCATTTTTTGACGTTACATCAATTGTATCGAGTGAGTATCCCTTTACAACAATTCAAAATTCCCTTTACATAAAATATCCTTTTACATAAATTCAAAATGTGCCTCACATCAATTCAAAAGCTAGGCATATATAGTATCCCTTTAGAAGTTTAAGAAATGCTTTTCTATCCGTAAAATCGGTCTTGAACATTGAACAGATCAGAAATTTGTTAACATTTTTTGTTTAGAAATCTCACAAAAATAAATTCAGGGCACAAATTTTTCTCACAGATCGAGATAAATTGTGGAAAGCAACTAAAAACGGCAATCACAATATTTCGTTACAACTTATTCAAAGTGAAAGTGAAGTGAAATTCATTAAATTTTAGGGTTGGCTGTAAATATTAAAGTAGAATCAAACGAGGACCCAGGAATGTTTTGCGCTAATCACGTCGGGTGTTTTGGGCGATGAAAAATTCGTGTCAGTTGGTCATAAAACAGAAGTAAATTTCCAGGTTATTCACAATGTTCGGACACTGACATGAAATCTCTGGATATTGTGGATCACGCAATTCATTGTTCGGACATTGCGCAGTGATAAGCCATTTCTCTTGTCAAAAGGGAGATATAATGACTAGCGTGCATGCTCAGGTACATCAGTAAGAGGCTCTAACGTGGAGCATTAACTCATCAGCATGAGGGACAGAATGCAAATTGCCTGTTAGGAAAATCATTGGTGGAATCAGACAAACGCTGAGTGAACGTTCAAGCGACAAACTTCAAAGGTCGAATGATACACGGTAAAGACTTGAATAAAATTTCCAAAAAGCTTGATCGTGCCATTCTTTTTGCGTTCTGCTGTTTAAATTCGTTAGCTACGTGACAAAATCGAAGAATAGGATATAGCCGTCCAGAAATTTCATGAAAAAATTTCTTTCCAGTAGGAACATGACTACAAATCTACAAAGATTATCAGTGAAAAACAATTAGTCTTTGATTCTCTAGCATATACGCTGGTTTCTGAATGTTGACAACATAAATGATTAACAGCAAAATCCAAACCGACGAAAATTTTGCCGCAAAGTTGGATGTTAGGAGATTTTGAATTAACGTCAAGTTATAGTATGCAATCCGAAGTTTGTCGCATTGATCTAAGGCATAAACCACAAAATTTTTGTCCAATTATTGGTACATATAGTTTAAATGGCATTATTCTGAATAATGAAACACCAATACTGACTATTTAATAGCACAATTCTCAGTTCTTCGTATTTTTCTAAAGAATTTATCAATGGCTCCTGACCTGTTATTAAAACACTCACCAGATCTTCATATTATTTAAACACTGAATACTCATTATACATATAATTTACCATTTCCCACTACTTTTCAATGCAATAACGAGGTCAATACTAAATACAGGCCAGAAAATGTAAAACTCACCAGTTCGTCGCCGAGGTAGTAAGTGTAGCAGCGGATGGTGGCCGTGCCTCCAACTTGTGCCACGACATCAGAGTTGTTCTGAGCCTCTGGCGTCATCAGGGCCAAGTTGGTCTCACGGCCGCCGCTCGCCAGCTCTCTGCGCGCGTGCTTACGGTGGCTGCTGGCAAACTCGAGCCGGTGACATAGAAGCTCTGCACACAAATACGATTGATTCTGAATATATTGAATGATTAAATATAAATATAAAGAGGGTGTGTGAACTGTGAAGAAATAGAGTGAAAATTGTGCATACGGTGGCTGCTGGCAAATTCGAGCCGGTGACATAGAAGTTCTGCGTATATATACGTTTGATTCTGAATATAGTGGATTATTAATTATAAATATAATTAGGGTATCTGAACTGTGAAGAAATGGAGTGAAATTTGTGTATGCCGGGATGGCTGGCTAACTCGTACCGGTGATATAGAAGCTATGCACACAAGTAGGATTGATTCTGAATATATTGAATGATTAAATAATATGAATATAAAGAGGTGTGTGAACTGTGAGGAAGAATAGAGTGAAATTTTTCCTTGCGATGGCTGCTGGCTAACTCGTGCTGGTGACATAGAACACTGTACAAAAATAAGATTGATTCTGAATATATTGCATGATTAATTCTAAATATAATGAGGATGTGTGAACTGTGAAGAAGAATACAGTTAAATTTGTGCATACGGCGGCTGCTGGCTAATTCTAGCCTGTGAGACAGCAGCTCAGCACGTACGTGGATGGATGATTTATATATATTGAGGGCGTGTGAGGAAGATTAATATGAAACTTGTTCTGTGAAAACGACAAATAAATTTCATTAAACAACTTCCTATTGCATATTAATAGGATCTAATTAATTCTGGTTATGCACAATTTATAGACCAACAAAGAACAGACATCTCCAAAAACCTGATATATGGCGTCAGAAAATATTATGCATTTGAATTGGACGTAAATGGTTGGTGCAAGACTCGCGTCCAAAAATAGCAATAATTTTTGTTTCATAATTTAGGTTGACCACCAAGATTTTGACTTGTTTACTGCAGAAGAATTCGATGTGCAATTCAACCCGACTGAAAAGTTTTACGAACCATCGTCGCTCGTACCACTCGAGCAGCCTTTTCCGCCGGTCTGCAGGGAAATGAAAGCCTGGAACTCATAAATATTCACAAGTAGACATCTTTACCATCGCAGGATATAATATGAACCAATATGAATGGCCGGGCGAACAATAAACAACTTGCTGGTTATTCAAAATAATTGGAAAAAACTTATAGCGAAAGATGAACAACTTTTCTCGTACAAGTTAAAGTTACTTAAATTTCGTTGAAGTCTAAAACCGCTACTTATTTGCGAAAGAAAATTTGTAATATTCAAAATTAATCCAACTACTTAATAAAAATTTGAAATCTATTTCGAATTCGCTCAGGAAGAGTAAGCAAGCTAACAATGAATGTCGAACCAATTTTTCATGACGAGAAAATTAATGAGTTTCGGTGAACAATGAGGCTCGCAGGAATTAGTAAAAGAGTTTCTCGTTAAATAAATGTCAAGAAATGCTAAGGAGTCGACGTCGAGAAGCTTGGAAATATTAGCTCACGCTTGATTGAAAGGACCACTGATGAAATTCTCGAATATTGTTAAAAGCTGATAGAGCAACTATAAGACAAACATTAATTTTATGTCAGTGTTTTCCTCATGAGGTTCGGAATGAAATCAGAAGAATGTTTAAACTACCAGTCGTGGCTTAAAAGACTTAAAATATTTCACTGATATAATTTTTTTTTCATATTAACTCATGCTGGTTTGAAATGGTTGGCTCTAGACCATCAAAGTGGTCGAGTGGTCAAAGAATCCGAGATTAAAGTAGCTAGTGGTGGGTTTGAATCCCAGCATGCTGCGGACATTGGTGGCTTGACATTAAAGAAAGAACCTCAGCATAACCACAAATATTTTGTTTAAAACGAAACCCAAGCCCATCTTACCTCGATTTTACTTCTTTGATTAAGAGGCAAATGACTAGGAACAACATATTTAATCTTCAAGTAAAAAAGACTTATCATCGGATTGAAATATATTTTTAATAAATTAATAATGCATGTGTCACATGTTGTTGAGTGAGGCCGATGCAAAAGCTTGCTTGTAGTATAGAAGCTAGCAGTCAAACTAGAGTGCTTGCATGATGGAATTTTCCGAGTCCTCCTCAGGGTTTGACGACACGGCAAATTATGTCCTATTCTAGACTGGCAGACACGGCAGTTTACGTCCTATTTTAGACTGACAGACAAGGCAGTTTACGCCCTATTTTAGAGTGGCCGACACGGCAGTTTGCGCCCTATTTTAGACTGGCAGACACGGCAGTTTACGTCCTATTTTAGACTGGCAGACACGGCAGTTTACGCCCTATTTTAGACTGGCAGACACGGCAGTTTACGCCCACATTTCAGTCAGGTTGTCTGAAGGTTAAAAGCAGCGACAGCAACAGCTGTCGAGCTGCAATATCGGGCGTTTATGGCATCGTATCCATTGAAAGAATGACGCATCGCCACCTCCGGCGGTGATATGACCGTAAAATGATTGTGGTCGTCGAAATATATGCAGCCATTCATCAAAACCTGCTCTTCCTGCTCCTCGATATGAAGGGGGAAATATTAGCGCAAAAGAGCCACGTATGATACGAGAATATTAATCATGCAGTAAAATATATTCATCATTATACGCTTTCCTGCTAATCGGCGCGGTTCGTAAGACATTTACGATCAAATGGAAAGCAAAATATAAATTAGAGTTTAATATAAAGGGATTTAATCGATCAAATACAAATTAGGTTTAAATTTCGCTTTCCCTGATTTCCTGCTATTTCATTAAGATCAGTTCGTTCATCCTAACAATTCACGATAATAATAATTACACCAAACCATTCACGCTCCAGATAATGTTTATTAGGTTTGTGAAAACCATAAGGAACTATGAAAAAAGTGATTCATCTGCAGAGACTCGTTCAGCGACATTTCTCAGAAAACATAGAGGTTATAAATTGTTGTCTTTGATGGAGGAAAATGGCTTCAATGAAGCATAATATGATCGTGTAATTTGACAACAAAATAATTTCGTCATCTAAGACAGTGCCTGGGTGTTAAATGTTTCTTTTGTGACTGGCCTGATTTTTGGCATAAAAACGCCGAGTTTGGCGTTAGCACAATAGAACACTCAAAAATTTCGAGTCACTTTTATCCTGAGGTCAATAAGAAAACGATAGCCAGTAATGGGTAGAATCAATCGTAAATTACTTCATAGAAATTCTAACGCTTCCGACTCTAATTCTTGTTTGGCCGCTTGCTTCTTTGAAGGTGTATCCGATTAAAAAGATTATCTTAAGTTCGTGTCAACAATCCTTTCCCTGACGTAAACAAATTTTTGCAACTTTTAGAGCACACGTGTCAATATTAATAGTATTTATTTGAATCAAGAAGTTCTTTGGTGTTTGAAAGTTAATTTGTATATAAAACCAAACGTTCCGCGGATGGAGCTAGACTGCTGAATTAATTCGGCTATATTGGTCAATGATAACGTTTGACTCAAATTGCGAGGAAATTTCATCTTCACAATTTTCAAAGGAGTTACTATAATTTGCATTAATGCCCCTGAAATTGTTGATGCATTTACTGCAATGAGGTACAATTAAACTGAACGGCGACGTACCCCTCGACGTACCCCTCGTTGTAAAGAGCTTCTGTAAGCCCATTTTTTATAATAAAATATCATACATATATTTTTAAACAACAACAGATAGGAGTCGATAGTCACCCTTGATAAGCGCCCGTTACAGCGGAGTGCAATAGACTGAGCACTTGAATCGCTCAGAATCTCTATAGGGAGGAGAGCTCTGGTAATGCCGTCTCATTATCCTGCCCTCGTTCGAAGGCTTTATCTAACTTACGAAGCTGGAGCTGCAATGTTCGTTGAGACTTACGAATGAAGTTATGGAATCATCATTGTTGCGTTTATGTATCGTGGTTTTGTGTCGATATTTTTCCTGAACGATCCTGGAACTGCAATTACTGTAAAATGTAATAAAGCCTAAAGGAATTGATTTTCTTATACTTTTTTTTGTGTAGAGTGCGATTGTTTCAATTTTCGACGAATATCAGTCTCATGAACATGAAATTCGGATCATTTTCAAAGAATAGGGAGGCATGGAATGAATAGTCGAATTTTTTGTTAAGACCAAAATCCCTAAAATGCGGCTGCAAGTTACTGTACCTATAGCAAAAGATATCCGACAATGCATGGTGCATTCACTTTATCTTTTTAGAAATAATGAGCAAATGATCATTTATGCATTTTTTGAGATAATGAGCAAATGATCATATATGCCATAGGCCTGGCTAAATTTTAACACAACATTTTTGAAAGAGCTTGTTCAAAATCTCCGGACATGAATTTGCTGCAAAGCAGCTAATATAATATATAGCGAATAAATCAATAATTCAAACATTTCAATGCAATTATTGTCAAAACTGTTTCAGTTAATGAACAATGAACAAGTAGGAGCGTGAAACTAGCATGAGGCAGTAATTCGCTCCTAAGTAAGGTAAGTATGAATTGAAAGCAATGCATGAACTGACAGGCTAACTTCGGTGCAAGGAAAACGGGCGACTGAGGTCCGAACAAAAAATGTTATGTGAAGCGTCTATGGGAAATTGCGATTACATATTATTCATGCTGCGTTAATATCCCTATCCATCTTAAATCAATATGACTGCAATATTTTGACCATAATGCTCCTCATAACCGAGTTTGCTTACTTATGATTATTTGAATCAATGAAGATTGGTAAGAAAGGAAATAAATTTTGACTATCCCGAAGACTATAATCAAGACATGCTTTTAGTTTATGTCTCTTAGAAATAGCTGTATGTATGTGATTTTTTGTACGTCTTTGTGACTTTTTATCACTAGTACGTGACTCATAATTCCGGTCTTTGATTAAGAACATCGGAATCTAAGATAAAAGTTAGTTAATCGGCAAATGATGCCATGGCTTCAATAATATTAAAGTTAACTATGGTTGGCCGCCGTATCAGTCAAATGGTAGATTTAATGTCACAAAATTACAATTTATGATTAGAAAAGGCGCGATAAGCATAGATAAACA